CCCACGTGTCCCGCTCCGTGGGCGCCCCAGCGCGCCGGGTCCCGGGGCCGTGCGGGAGCGGGGGGAGATTTGGTCTCTTAGGGAGGGGACGCGGGTCCCCTGGGTCGGAGCTCTGCTCTCTCTCTCTCTCTCTTGGCAGTACTACGGCCCCCGGCCGTAGGGGCGTGGGTCATCATTGCCGGTGTCCGAGAGCCATGTTACGGGGGGGTGGTGGGAAGGTACAGTTCGCACTGCTGGGATCCAGTGGCTCAAATAATTCTAGGTAACAGGCTCCTGTGAGGAAACGAGCCACAAAAACACTGTGTTGCAGAACGGAGATGGTGCCTTTCCCTTATTTTACAACTATTTTACAGCTATATAACATTTATAACTCTAACCTAAATATAACTTTGTTAAGACGATGCCTTAATATTTTGAGTGAATACGTGGGAATGTAAGGAGTGTACTGTTTTGTTTAGTGTGAGATGTTCATCTCGGGCATAAAATTTAAGATTTTTAGATTGTTAAATAGAGATTCACTAGTGCAAAAATGAAGTGCTGCACTAATACACGTTTGGATTTTTAGAAAACAGCAACTGCTGTTGCCCACTGCAAGAGAGGAAATGGCCTCATAAAAGTGAATGGAAGACCTCTGGAAATGATTGAGCCCAGAACTCTGCAGTATAAAGTAAGCATTCACCCAGCCTCCCCCACTGCCCTTGGATATTAAAATACTATTATACGCATAATCGCTTGGCGGTGGAGAGGAATTGCTTGCCATATTGACAGTACTAAATTTTTGGTGGTGTGTTGCCTGACCACTTGAAGTGTAGATGCTGTTATGAAAATTCACAAAACTGTCTTTTTATGATTGTCTCGTTGGGAGGGGTGGGGTTTTTTTGCTTAATTGGATTAATGCATATTAATGTAACGTGAAGTATTTTCAGCACTTCACATCCATTTTTTAAATTGACACATCCATTTTTTAAATTGAAATGAGTGACTTAAACCCCTCCTTTTTAGAAGATTCTTTAGAACTTAATACAGTAGCTGTTTGAACACTGCTGAGAGAACCTAAAACTGACGAGATAAACATAAAGTGTAATAAATAGTGGAGAAAACCACTCACAAATTACTTCAGATCTTCAATTTTAATAACTTGATTTATTTTTCTAGTGCTGATGTAATTATGGCATTCTACTTAAACTATTTCCTTGCTCTTAATTCCCATGTACATATGCTTAGCTATTAAGATTTTTGAAACTTTAAAAAAAAAGTTCAAGACTTCAGTACGTTTGTTTTGCAACAGTACTAGTAGATGTCAAAGAACTCTGCAAGAGGTGTGCTTAACTTGGGTGTGTGCTTGTAAAATCAAGGCTCCGTTTTTCAGAACATTTAATAACTTCACATTTGGTAGACCTACTACAAGCTCTAATCCTTGTTGTCTCTGATCAGAAGTGAATTTTCTTTGTTTTGTTTCTCAGCTGCTTGAACCTGTCCTCCTCCTGGGGAAGGAACGGTTTGCTGGTGTCGACATCAGAGTCCGTGTCAAGGGTGGTGGCCACGTAGCACAAATCTATGGTACGATTATGTGTGGGGTCTTCGGTGTGGGCTAGAACAAGTCAAGCCACATATTTAAGAGGCTTGAATTTAGAATGGTAACTCGTGCATCTCGACTGTTTCTTTTTCATTTATTGTTAAGGGCTTATTGGTTATATTTTATGTGCAGAGCTGTAACATCTAGAGTAAGTTGAATGAAGTAAATTGATGAAATTATGAGGAAACGTGAGGAAATGATCTTTGTGTCTTGGCAGTCTGACAGGACAGTTGAAGCACAGCTGAGCAGAAAGATTTTCGGAGGCGAAAAGGGGATTTATCATTAGACATTTTACCTGTAGTTGTAAGTTTCCATGTTATTCAGAAGCATTTTGCAACTGACCTGTAAAGCTAGGTAGTTTTTTCCCTTGCAGAGCAGACTGAGAACATGCTTGCAGTAGCTGTTGATAGAGTTGCTTTTTACAAATGATAGATTTGTTCTGCTGTCACAGTTTGGGTATAGGTTAGTGAAATGGAGCTGAAGCTGCGTGAAGAGCCGCGACATGTTTCAGTCTCAAAGTTGATTGCATTCATTTTTTCAGAAAATTCAGATTTTCACTGAAGTCCTGATCTTAATGTTCTGACAGATAACAGCCTAACAAAATCTTCACAGTTAGGCCTATGCTCCTGCTTTGAGTTCTGATTACTGTGTTACTGTGCTACAGGCTTGTTTTGTTGAGGTATGCTAGAAGAACCGCTCATACCATCCTGTTTTCCCTTTTGCCTCCTTAGTCTTTGAGCACACTGATCAATTTTATCCTTGTTGAAAAGTATAGATGTTTCAGAGGATTGTGTTTCTAAGGGTTTTGGAAGTTGGATGCTTGTAGGTAGCAGATGAACCTACGTTAGTAGTCTGAAGAGAAGGTGATCAAGACTGCCCTTGCACAATTCCTTGGCTAGCCGGCAGTTGTCAAATCAACAAATGAACTGTGGATGGCCTCTTGGCACAGATTTCTTCAAGATTTGCCAACGTAAATGTCACGTGGAGTATGGGAGGGGAGACTAAGGAGGAAAAGGACAATTTGGCAGAAAACAAGACAGCAAGTTTCGAAGATAACTGGCACTTTGTGTTTTAAGTTTTTAAGTACATTTGCAATCCTTACTGATCCATTATCTTTTTTTTTTTTTTTTTTTTTAACAGCTATCCGTCAGGCTATTTCCAAAGCATTGGTGGCTTACTATCAAAAATGTAAGTTGTTTTGATTGTTATATTAGCCTTAAGTGGAAATGTATGTTTTCCGGTAGTTTTGGTGCAAAAAACGTTAATATGGATTTGTTCCATGTGAAACTTCTTAAACTGAAGATTTTTTTAATTTTTTTTTTTTTTTTTGCACAGATGTTGATGAAGCTTCCAAGAAAGAGATCAAGGATATTCTAATCCAGTATGACAGGACCCTGCTGGTTGCAGATCCTCGCCGTTGTGAATCCAAGAAATTTGGAGGACCTGGTGCTCGTGCACGCTACCAGAAGTCTTACCGTTAAAATTGTTCTAACATCATGTGACAGTCAATAAACAAAGAAAATTTGATAAATTTCATGTTTCTAAGTTGCGTTTTTCTGTATGGGTAAATAGATTTTTCACTGTGTGTTAACTTAAGATTGATAATTGATCAGTATTAAAGTAAAATCAGAGAGCTGTTCTCTTTTATCCCTTCCTAGTAAGTAAGTCTAGATAGATAGGGTCTTGGGAATAAAGAATAGCTTTCTCCTGTTGATGAATGTGTGGTTATCAGAACATAAAGAAGGCTTACATCCTGTTTTTTGTGGGTACATGCAACAGCGTAGCAGTTCATTAAAGCAGAGTTCGATCTTCGCCTTTCTGGTAAATCTAAACAAATGTGGACCTTTTCCAGTGCCTGGGCGGCCACTCTTCATGGTGTTATGAACCAACGCGAGCAGCCTATGTTCTTCCCTGGTGAAAATATCTGTCCCAGCTTAGTTACAGACTTAGTCCATAATGGACGAGAGTGCGGATCCAACTCCTGGCTGATAGCCTGCATATCATGTGTTATGTGACTTGCTTTAGTATGCCGCCCTAGTGTAATGCAGCATTAAGCATCTTTCCACATACATGTCAGCGCTGGCAGTTTGTGTTCTTGCAAAGGACTTCTGTTTTCCTTGTATGTTCACCTGAAATACCACACTGACAGTGAAGTTCCAAGCACTGCTATGGAATATTCTATGGCAATGAGTATTGTCTATAGAATCATAGAATAGAAAGGTTGGAAAGGACCTCTGAGATCATTGAGTCCAACCTGTTAATCTAACTGCCTGGTCTACCTCTAAACCATGCCCCTAAGCACCACATCCACACGTTTTTTGAATACTTCCAGGGACTGTGATTGCAGCGCTTCCCTGGGCAGTCTGTTCCGATGCCTAACCACTCTCTCTGGAGAAATTTTTCCTAATATCTAATCTAAATTTCCCCTGGCACAACTTCAGGCCATTTCCTCTTGTTGTATCACTTGCTACTTGGGAGAAGAGACCGACCCCCACCTCACTACAACCTCCTTTCAGGTAGTTGCAGAGAGCAAGAAGGTCTCCCCTCAGCCTCCTCTTCTCCAGACTAAACAACCCCAGCTCCTTATAAGACTTGTGCTCCAGACCCTTCACCAGCTTCGTTGCCCTTCTTTGGACACGCTCCAGCACCTCAATGTCCTTGTAGTGAGAGGCCCAAACACAGTATTTGAGGTGTCATCTGCGTGAACTGCTTTTGTTTGCACTTGCTTAGCGGTTAGTGGCAAGTAATTTACCCCCCCCCCCCGAGGGTAACTCCCTCAACATAGTGCTAAAGGGGGTATTCAGGCAGCTGTTCTAATGTTTGTATTTAAAGTTTACATGGTCAAAATCAAAGTAATTATGGGGGCAGGGGAGGGAGGTTTATTGAACTCTTTCCATACCAGATGATACAGAGGCAGGCTTTTCTGGATTAGTATGTCTAAATGTAGGAAACTTTTTTTTTTTCCTTGAAATAACAAACCCCATATATTCTGTTTCAAACCCAGTATTTTGTAACTGTAAAACATAAAAAAGATTTTGTGTTACAAATAAGATGGGGTCTAAATTATTCATCCTTCAACCACATGTTCACGCAGTACAAGCACAGAGGAATGTAGACCTGGAGAACATCATTAAATGATTTAATAAGAAAAATCCCTGTGGATGTCAGGCAGTTGCTTATGTCATGAGCTAGGTGAGGCAATTTGAAGGCCTTAGGGAAGTAAGTGGGAAAAACCTGGAGCTGAAAATACGACTAATTTTCAAAGGTCTGGCTAGGGGGTGTGTGTATCAAACATGAAATGTTGGAGAAGTTCCAGTTTCTTGTCCATTGAAACTGAAGATTTTTGTTTTGGAAATGATCCAAAGAAGATGACTAAAGTTCTGAGTAAGACATGGGATGTGCCAACAAAAGACTGTTGGAAAGGCTAATTCTGTCCCTTAGAGGAGTTGCAAGTAGTTGAGCGAGGCCTCGGATATGAGCTGACCCAACAGGCATGGGAACAGCCCTGGACTGTAGTTTCCTATGTTTGAAAACCAGTTTGGAGAGGAACTGGAAGAAACATTGGAGACGAAGCAACAGAGAGCTTCTGATGTATTGCTCTCTAAACCTGGTATTTTTGTGTCCATCATACTTTTGTATGCCGGTACTGAAATTGTTACAGGAGCACCTTGGTACTTGAGATTTTTGTTGAGCTTTCTATTAACGTGGTATTTCTTCTCTCACTTGTTTAATGGTAGGTCATTTCAGTGTACTCAGTCAACACAAAGTTCAGTTGGCTTCCTTAGTGAGTTGGGTTGGGGAACTGGAAAGAATAGTACAATTTTGCCCTTTTGCTCTAGTTTAGGAAAATGGGTGCTTATGGCTCCTTATAGATTTCATGGAATCATAGAATCATAGAATTGTTTAGGTTGGAAAAGACCTTTAAGACCATCAAGTCCAACCATTAACCTAGCACTGCCAAGTCCACCACTAAACCATGTCCCTAAGCACCACATCTACCCGTCTTTTAAAGACTGCCAGGGATGGGGACTCAACCACTTCCCCGGGCAGCCTGTTCCAGTGCCTGACTACCCTTTCAGTGAAGAAGTCTTTCCTAATATCCAACATAAACCTCCCCCGGTGCAATTTTTATTTGTTATGATGTCTCTGCTTTTTCTGTAGAAAGGCATTTAAGTCATCTTCACCGAAGTGTAGTTATTCAAGAGTTAAACGTGTAACTTGAACAAATCCCTTCTGAAAAGGAATTCTCCATCCATCTCCCATTTTAGCTGTCAGCGTCTGCCACAAAATACTGCATTACATGACCTGAATAGAAGTAGAACACTCTTGTTCAAACCCCTCACACTCCCATTGAAGTTGAGGGGACTGTTGTGTATTCCATTGCCAATTTACATACCAGGATTTTTTGTCTTACTAAGTGAACGAGATATATTCTATTCCAGACGCTTGCTGTCTCTTTGGCAAGATGCATGGTTTGCTTTCCTCAGTCCCCCCTTTCTGCACCCTCAGATCTGACCCATTTCTTGTCCAGTGAGTTCCTCAGAGTTTCTACCCTGTAGTAGAGTTGCTCACAAATTATTCTAGCTCTTAGGCTGCTGAAAACTGCGATGTTCTGCCTCCTAGCCTGGCTTTCTAAGGAAAAGATGCTATGCAGGGCTAACTTCAAATTTGATTACTTGAATTCCTATGAGTTTTGTGAAAACTGGCATCTTGATAGATGTTAATTAGCTTCAGCTGGGGAAAAATAAGCCTTTGAGTTGTTTGGCTCGTGTGGTGACTGAAAAGCAATGGCTCACTCATTCTTAGGAAATGTGTACTAGCCTGCCAGTTGGCACATACGTACCCTGTGCTGTGGCTTGTCCAGAACTGATTCTTGCCTGGCTATTAGAGCAGTTGGATGCAAGGAAAAAGAGAGGACACAAAGTTACTGTGGTGCGAAATTCGGGGAGGCGGGGGAGATGCAATACCTGATGCCAGCAACCCTAGGGTAGATTTCACCGTTGTGGGGAAACCTGATGTATCAGTTTTTCTGCCCACAGAACAGCTTGTAACAATTGGGGATTTTTGTTTTGCTGTTCTTTTATGGAAAGGCTGAAAATAAAACTCACATTGCTACTAATATATCCAGAGATGATATCTGCATGTCATTTCTTCAAGCAAAAGGCTCTTAGCATAATAAAAATGCTTTCTGAACTGAACTCTGATCCTATAAAAATGCTCCATTAATCCTGTAGAGTGATGTCATCCCCACAGACTTGCTTTCTAAATGAGAAACGTTCATGGAATCAGGCTGGTGTCTGCCTGGGTGGCTGAAGATTTTTATTCTAAATGGTTACTTACTGATCACCCACTAGAGGGCTTAACTTCATCTACCGTGAAGTTTGAAGGTGTAAGGAGAAAACATGTTCATAAAAATGTTTCCTTTCCTGATGCCCTGATTCTGCAGGGATGGCAATTGAGCTTTTGTCATTGACCACTCAGAGACACACTTCACAGAGAAATAGTTACAGTTTGATCTTCAAGCCCCTAACGAGGTTCTTGAGCAGCTGTGGAGGTGGTTCTTGGAAAAGAAGAAATGCCCCTAACCTCATATCGTCCAGCCCTTTCATTAGTTTCCTTAGGAAGATCAGGTGTGCACATCAAAATGTGGCCTCACTTGAATTCTTTGTTGAAAATACCAGTTCAATGAAGGCTGGAGTGTGAGCTCTAAAAAGCACCGTGTTTTGTTAATGACGACAGTGGATTTGATTCCAAACCAGGGCAAGCTTGTTCAGTGCCACGGGGCACTGAAGGCGGTTATTTTCTCACCCATTTTTTCATAATCCTGATAAACAGTGTAACCTGTATATAAAATTAAGTAATCTCAAATGTTATGTTGGAAACTTTGGGACAAATTAATTTTGACAGTAATATACAAATATATTAACATTGAAATGTTTAAGTCTTATTTTTAAAGAAAAACCTGTAACTTAAAAATATAACACTAGCATTTTTTACGTATGGACCAGTGTGTTCTGTATTGTGTTTGTTTTCTTACAAAAGTGATTATTTTCTAATGCATTTTTTCTGTTCAAATTTTTCAGAAGTCCCAATCTGTATTCTACTACATGTGTAGGTAATCTGTGTTGTTGCCTCGATATAATTTGATTCATTTTCTTTTAATCTCTTTCTTAATATAGTCCTCTGAGTTACAGTTCAGTGTACTTGGCTGAATAATTCTTTTTCCTTATTAGCTAACATCCTTCATGTGCTTGAGACTGTGCTGTTTCCTACCCTGCCTTGAGCAGAGATATCCAGTCCTAATGAAAGCTATTGCTCTAACTCTTACAAAGTCCTGTTGCAGCTGATGATGCTTAGCTTACTTTTTAAATATTAGAAGTTAAACAACTGTGAAATATTAACACGCACCAATCAGTCCCTCAACTTTGCTATAGAAAAATTGTAAAAAAAAATAAAAAGGCTATTTTTGATAGTTTCTGTTAAACCAAGAGAGTTCATTTATATTAATGGAAAGATTTATTTGTAAAGCTGCG